TTGTTTTTGCTGACATAATTGGTCCCAAGAAACCAAGTTTAGGAGGTGCCTGTTATATTTTGAGTATTATGGACCATTACTCACGATACGGTTTCTGCTATCTTATGAAAAACAAAACAGAAACATTCCAACATTTCTTTATCTGGCTAAGATTTGCTGAGAGAAAAATGAAAAGTAAAGTAATTAATTTACTTACTGATAATGGGACTGAGTTTGTTAACAAGAGATTCCAAACTATGTTAAAATTGGCTGGCGTTGAGCATAAATGTTCCGCACCTTACAGACCACAACATAACTCATTTATAGAACGAAGAGGGCAAACATTACAAGCCATGGCTCGCACTATATTATCTGATTCAGGTTTGCCTGAAACACTGTGGGGTGAGGCCATAATGTGTAGCAACCATGTGTTGAACAATGTGGTTAATACAACAACTGGTGAATTGCCATTCACTCGTTGGCATGGCAGAAAACCAAATTTAAGTTACCTACACACATTTGGAGCTCCAGCATGGGTGCATATTCCCTCACAAGTAAAACTGAAAGGGCAACATAGAGCTAAAAAGTTATTTTTTTGTGGGTTACGAGGCCAACCATAGATCATTTAGACTCTGGGATCAAGGCACAGCTCATGTTTATTATAGTGCTAATGAAAAATTTATTGAGTACATTGGGCAGGATAAACTGGAACAGGAATCCAGCAATGATATCATTATTGACACCCAAATAATCCCTAAAGATAAAATAAGTAAACCACAAATAGCCATTAAAGAGGAAGAACAGAAGGAAGTAGGAAAACAGGCACAGGAGGAGGTAGAAGAACAGGAGCAGGTGGCACAGGTGAGTCCACCAGTAAGCCCTGTACTACCAAGACGTTCAACCCGAGTAACATTAGAGAATGATTGTGAATGATTGTAGATATCAGGCTAGTGTTGTATGCCAAGTGAATACAGTTCCAAGTAACTATAGTGAACTAAAACTGTATCCTGCTAAGGATCAGGCTGCTTGGCAGAAAGCAATGGATAAGGAACTAGAATCTTTAAAAAGACTGGAAGTATACGAAAATGTTAAGTTACCACCAGGTAAACATGCCATAGGATGAAAATGGATTTATAAACTGAAGACAGGTGTAGATGGGACTGTTACCCATAAAGCCAGGGTTCAATCAGACAGCAAATGACTATGATGAGGTGTTTGCACCTAGTCTGAAGGCTGCTACATTAAGGGTGGCATTAGTGTGGGCTGCTAAGGAGAAATATATTGTAAATCATTTGGATGTAGAGACTGCATATCTGCATGCACCATTGCAACACGCTATTTATTTAAAGAAACCTTTAGGTATCAAAAATGATAATACAACTGATTGAAAAAGAGTGTTTATGGTTTGAAGCAATCAGGATATGAGTGGAACCAATGTATAGTTAAAGAATTAACTAAGACAGGTTTTGTAGCTGGCATGGCTGATCCATGTTTGTTTAAAAAAGAAAATAATGGTGTAGTTTCATTATTGCTATTATTTACTGATGATATAGCATTAATCACCAAAACTGAACAAGAAGCTACTAAAATAATCTCTCTGTTAGAGAAGAAATTTAAGATAAAACAGTTAGGACAAATCAAACAATATTTTGGTTTAAAGATAGATAGAACTAGGGGAGGATACAAGATTTCACAGGCAGATAAAATTAATCAATTACTAAAAAGTTTTAAAATGGAACTTTGTAAACCGGCTAAAACACCAATGAGCCAGGAGTTTAGCCATAGTGATGTTCAAAGTCCTGTTTTTGATAAGAACATTCATCAGTCTTTGATTGGTAGTTTATCTTATCTCAGTAATTGGTCAAGGCCAGATATTGCATACAGTGTTAATCAATTAATGAGATTTAACGCTGAGCCAACTGAAAGGCACTGGCAAACTGCTAAATGTGTGTTAAGATATCTGAAACAAACAATGCATTATGCATTGTATTTGGAGCCAAAAGATGAACTAAGTTTAACTGCATATGCTGATGCAAGTTTTGCTACAGACATAAATACACATCGGGCACTGTAGTATTATTGGGAAAGGCATTGATTGGATGGAGGTCTATTAGACAGAAACATCTAAGTTTGTCAACAATGGAGGCTGAATTCTCATGTTTGTCTTTACTATGTACAGATTTAGTTTTGTATAAGCAATTATTAATTGATATGGGAATTAATGTAACAGATCCTATTGTTGTTTACGAAGATAACCAATCAGCAATACAGATGGCTTCAAATATTGCTGTTAAGACAAGAACGAAACATACAGATTTAAGATATTTAAATGTGAGACAATGTGTGCAAAGTAAGATGATTAAGCTGGAATACTGTATGTCAGAAAACGATATAGCAGATCATTTTACAAAGGCCCAAGGCTCTATAAAGCATAAGGCTAGCTGTGAAGATTATGGACTTAGAACGTAAGGTTGTATAAATTGTCCTATCCAAAAGGGAAGAATGTTAGGAATATAAGTCACCTAACCGCTATTAGGATTGGACAATATATAAACCAGGCTAGACATTTTAATACTGTATCTTTAAGAAAATGCAAAACTGTAGTTGGGTGTGTTTTCTCAAACGGCCATAAGATGGAGCCAGAAACCTGGGTTGTCTTAGTCTTAGTCTCAGAAGAAGTCTTAGTGAGTCTCTGTTTCCTTCTGTTGGAGAATATTGCCGTTTCCTCTTGACTGACTGCTATTCCTGGATTTGATGTAAGTCTGATACTGAACTGTTTTTGACACTGATCATTGTTATTGGATTATCTCTGGACTAAAAACTGACTGATTTAACCTGTGAATGACTTTGGACTGTGTTTGAACTTTGCTTAAACCTTTCTGGAAGTTAAAACCTACATTTACTGTACAGTGTATCTGTGTGCTGTATGTGTATTAATCAAACACTTCTCTCAATATGTCTCTCTGTATGCGCTCATTCTCCTAACGGGAATTACCTCAACACTCTTCAACAAAACAAAGTATATGACTAAAGAGAAACATTAGGTAGTATAGCACCATTAATCAATAACAGATCAGAATTGTTTCCTGACTGCCACCTAGCATCAAAACACTTTTCACTTCTTAAATCAAGTTCTCCAGCAGTCTTAGAAAGCTACAATTTCTTCAAATGAATTTCATATTTTTCCAATTATAATTTTATTTTTAAAAAGTTATTTTAATGTTCTTAGCAATTTAATATTTTATGGGAATAGATGCAAAATCCTATAAACTCAGATTTATATAATTTTAAAAGTCTTTTAAATTTTTATACAACAAGGCAGTTGGAGAGTATGACTTTTTTAAAAAAAATATCGGAAAGTTATAAAAGGTATCATGTTGTATTTTATTTATTTGATTAGGACTATATCCCAATTTTCTTTCAGGAGATCCAAGCAATATATAACATTTCTTCCTTCATTTTTCCCTGCAGCAAAAAATTTCTTGTTTGGTTGAGAGAAAAGAACTGGCTCAATAAGTATTCTGAAAAATATTTTTAGAAACAAGAAGTGCAAAACCATAGGTCAAAATTATACTTACAAAATCAAGCCAGATTTCAAACTCTGTACCAAATCATATTCTATGAGTTTTCTGAGATTATAAAAATAATAACCATTAGTATTTCATTAATATTCTTTAACAAAAAGGCAGTCCTTAGGACAATGAATTATTAACATTTCAACAGAAACATAAGACATGAGAAGAAACATTAAATTCCGTGACATTTTGAGAAACTATTGTAAAATACTTAATTTCTATAGAATGAAAGAAATAACTAAACATTGCAAGTTTTGTTTGAAATAATTTTTTGTTTATCTAGAGGATTTTTTAAAACTAGTTAATATTTAGTGTACTTTGCCCCTAAAAGTTAAGATAACACTGTTGAAAAGAAGAAAAGTATTACATCAACAAATAATATTTATATGGATAATAGTATAAACAATCATTTTGAACCCTGGAGTGGTTAGAATGCAATATTGCAAGCAACTCTGCTCATAGACTTGAGTTTGATTCTAATGGGGCTCAGGGTTGACTTAACCTTCCATCATTCCAAGGTCGGTACAATGAGGAGCCAGATTGTTGGTAGAAATATACTGGCATTGTAAAGCACTCAGAGAATGCTATAAGTACTATGGAACAGTATATAAGTTTAAGTGTTATTACTGTTACCAGTCTGGCTTATTGTGCTCTATGCTTTTCATACCACATTCCCACTTTGTACATCCTAATTTTGTTGAAGCAATACTGTATTCAAAAACAATGATTAAAAACAATGTTACAACAGTTGATTTTGAAAAATCTGGATATCAGTTTCAGAGATGAATGGGTCCATATTCAATTCACTATTTCAGAAAATACAGTAATTATTTTCTTTAAGAACAACAACATAGGTATTGATTTATTGGTTAAGTACCTTCTTCTTTTAGACCTCTAAATCATTGAGCTTAAATGCTTCAGCTCCCATTACAATTCCTAATAAAGTGTAAAATTGCATTTTGGTTTCTTGATAAAAGAGATGCCAAAATGGGATACGGAAAGATTGTGATGTTTCCAAACACTGTTGAAAGTCTCCCAGGACTAAATGTCTTGAAGTGATAATATAGGAATTGACATAAATAGAAGTAAATAGATGGCACAAAAGCCATGTTCTCCCTAGCTAAAATTAATGTATAGAGTATCTATGGGAAGGCCTCACAGATTGTTCATTCAAGCATGTTCCTAATGTTTCTTACCAAATACATAATAAAATATATATAAATTTCAAGCCAAGATTGATTCCTGATAAAGAAAAATATCTCCAATCAGATATTAAATTAAATGTTTATATAATTTAACTTTTAGTTTATTAGAAATCATAATTTGCATTTTGAAATGACTTTTTTCTACTAACATACTAAACTTTGAAATGGTGCTTCTGTTCATATAACCCAGTATCTTTACAATATATATAGATATATAACTTTAATAACATGCAAAACCAACCTGGCTTGAAATGTGGTAGACCATCAACTCCAGGCCATGACTCTTCATTTGGAGTTCCCAGAACCTGTAGATGATAATTTATAATGAAGCTTTTTTTAACTTGGATTAAAAAGTTTAACTGAGACATAGAATTAATTTTTAAACTTATATACAATTTATATAATTTATAAATATCAATCCATCAAACTTTATAACTATTTTTGTCACAAATTATTTCTACATTGGGAGACCTATTATTCCTAATTATTATTGTCTAATTAAAAGGAGCTCAAGGCTACTAATTCAAAACTGAGGGGTATACATGCAAAGTGTATTAAAATTACATGATAAATTTTTTAATTCATTTAAACTGAGTACTCTGTGCACACAGAGACAGATCGCCTTAGAGCAGGTCAAACTCCCAGCCCGTGAGCCACATGCATCACATGCTGGCCACACCCATGCCCAGTTTAAAGAAGGGCAGAAAAGTCCTGATACGTCACATGACACTGCTGTGACACCGTGAGTTTGACAACCCTGCCTTAGAGCTTTTGTTGAGTTAAATCTACCCTGCAATATTTAGCATGCCCAGCAGATGGAAGCAGAAATTTAATTTAGAAAGTCCTCTACTCTTATTACTGTATTCTCTCAAAACAACATTAGATTTTTTTCCCTAAATAATTTATTTTCTAAAGTGGGAGGATAATCTTTTTTTATTTGTTGAAAATACATTATTATCAGGCAGGGAAATTTCCATTGGAAGCTTGTTCATGCAGGTACATTAAATTCAGGATTGCCTTTCTTAGAAAACAATGTGGCTTTAGTAAATTAATATTAAGAAACCTAGCCTGATGAAAAACCAGATCTTATGGCTATATTTTAAAAAGTACTGAGTTTCAGCCTTTCATATACAATCACTTATTTCATCAATTTCCTTATATTTTGTAGATTATCTGACACTAATTCAATTTGCACATTTTTTTTTGAAGAACCAAGAGTTCTTAATTTTAAAAATATTTTACACAGGTACAAATCCAATTTCAAAGTAGTAACACTTTCAGAATGAACCATGAAGCAATAAACAGACCAAGGGGCAGGGGAGGGGAGGTAAACAGCTATTGCCAGATCTCACTTACACAATTTCTTCAAGTCACTACTTTACTTACTAAAATGATAATTTAAGAATTGGACCCAAAGCAAAAAGCAAAATAAAACTGCAAAGAAATACCAAGTTGCTTTATTCCATTGATACCTTCTTATACTTATTAAATTATTTACCCAACGTATACTGTATTTTTTACTCCATAAGACATATCTGACCATAAGATGTACCTAGGTTCAGAAGAGGAAAAAAAATATGAGCCAAATATGGAGCAGCAGTGTAGTGAGAGCAGGAGGTGAAGCCTGAGAGGACCACAGATAGGTGTCCTCTCATGTGCCAGCTCTGCCTATTGATTCCTGTACTGCGGAAAAGAGACAGAAGAGGCAGGCAATGACAAAGACAGAAGAAACTGGGTTCAGCATTGTAGAAGAACCACCACCACCACCCCGCCATGGCCCAGCTGCTATTCACTAGTATTTGCTTCATAAGATGCACAGACATTTCTATCCACTTTGGGGTTGGGGAAGTGTGTCTGATGAAATGAAAAATACAGTATGTATATTTTTTTCTAACACCTAGACGCAGACCAAATCAATCAATCTTCATTATTAAAGAAAAGTTAGCAGATGGCTCAAAATACTTTGATTGCCACATAATAGTATCAGTCTAACATACTTCTCTAAATTGATTTTTTTTTAAAGAAAATTTTATCATTTTTGTAACTTTCACTAACATGAGCCTTTATTATAGAAGAGATGCCTGAGAGATATTGGTAAAAAGGAACAACTATGATCAAACAAAGATAACTCATAGCAGCAAGGGTTGCAAATCATCAATAATATCTGTCCTCATTATGTCTGTAGAATGTATATCTGTAGAATGTAGTCTAGTAGTTGGGGAATGGTAGGTCAGAAGAAATAATAGCTTCAAGCTTCATAGTTCTTTTGTCTAAAGTCACTCATGTTTATTTGGTGGTAGATACCAGCTGGGAAAAAATCTAATGAATTGATATCAATATCAATCAGAATAGAATTGATAGGGACCATGGAGTTTTTCTAGTCCAAACCCTTGCTCAAGCAGGATGCCCTATACCATTTCAGAAAGGTGGCTCTCCAGTCTTCTCTAAAAAACCTCCAGTGATGAAGGGCCTACAATTTCTGAAGGCAAGCTGTTCTACTGGTTAATAGTTCTCGCTGTTAGGAAGTTTCTCCTTAACCTTGTTGCTTCTCTCCTTGGTTTGGTTCTATCCATTGTTTCTTGTCTTGCCTTCTGGTGCTTTGGAAAATAAGTTGACCGCTCTTCTTTGTGGTAGCCCATCAAATATGGAATACTGCTATCATGTCACCCCTAGTCCTTTCCTCTAGTCAAGCCAAACCAATTCCTGAAACTGTTCTTCATATGCTTTTGTTTTCAGGCCTTTAATCATCTTAGTTGCTCTTCTTTGCACTTTTCCCAAATCTTGACATCTTTTTTGTAATGTGGTAACTAAAACTGATGCAGTATTCCAGATGTGGTCTTACTAAGGATTTATAAAACAGTACAAATACTTCATATGATCTTGATTCTGTTTATACAACCAAGGGTTTTTTGGTTGCTGCTGCACATTGCTGGCTCATGTTTAAATGATCATCCACTAGGACCTCCAAGGTCCCTCTCATAGTTACTATTTTTGAGCCAAATTTCACATAATCTGTATTTGTACCTTTGGATTTTACACCTGTCTAGGTGTAAAACCTTGTTTTTGTCCACATTAAATTTCATGATGTTGGATAAGGCCCATTTACTCAAATCTGTCAAGATCTTTTTGGATGTTGAGTTTTTGAGGTGTTGGCTATACCTGCCAGCTTAGTGTCATCTGCAAATTTGATGAGTTCCCTTTCTATTCCCTCATCTAAGTCTTTATGAAGAGCACTGGGCCCAAGATGAAACCTTGTGATATCCCACTGCTTACTTCCCTCCATGTAGATGTATTACATTAAGAACAATTTATTGAGTAGGGTTTGCAGTCAGTTACATATCCATCTAGTGGTGATGTTGTCTACCCCACAATTTTTCTAGCTTATCAAGAAGCTGTGGTCTAGGTATGATTCTTTGATTATGTTTCTACTAGCTGAGTCCATGAAAATATGCATATTCTACCAAGAGGTACCAACACATGCAGCAGACATATTGGAACTTCAGGTGACTTCTATTTGTAGCATTAGGTGCAATTGAACACCTTCCAGTTGGAAGCTTTCCTAGACTGTACATTCTGATGTATGGATAGTCCTTCACTTACAACCATTCGTTTAGTGACAGTTCAAAGTTATAACAGCACTGAAAAAAGTGACTTATGACCATTTTTTACACTTATGACCATTGTGATATCCCCATGGGTCACGTGATCAAAATTTTGGTGCTTGACAACTGGTTCGTATCTAGGGTAGTTGCAATATCCCAGGGTCATGTGATCCCTTTTGTAACCTTCTGACAAGCAAGGTCAATAGGGAAGCCAGATTCATACAACTGTATTACTCACTTAACTGCAATGATTCACTTAATGACTATGGCAAGAATGGTCATAACATGGGGCAAAACTCATTACTAATTGTCTCACTTAGCAACATAATTTTTGGGTCAATTGTGGTTGTAAGTTGAGGACTAGGTGAAGTTTAGAAGAGTCTTTGCCTGGCTTTCACTAATGTGCCACTTGTGATCTTTTCAGGAATGGGGGGTTCTAGTGGAGTGGTGGCTAATCTTTTTGGGCTCCTGTGCCAAAAATTGTGTGCGTGCTTGCACGCTCACATTCGTGTGCCAGCACCCAGAAGGCAATGCACCCCCAAGGCCCCCTATGCATGCGCGCATAATCCGCACCCACCCGCCCCCTTACCTGCACTGTGCCTCACAGCTGATTTTTGGCCGGTTTGAGGCCTTTTTTGGCATCCCAAAGGCTTGAGGAAGGCTTCTGCAGGCTTTGCAGGCCAAAAACTAGCCCCGTTTCATCACTTCCGGTATTTTTGGAAAAACAAGAAGTGACGAAACAGGGCTAGTTTTCAGCCTACAAAGCCTGCAGAAGCCTTCCTCAAGCCTTTGGGAGGCTGAAAAAGGCCTCAAACCGGCCGAAAATCAGCTGTGAGGCACGCGAATGCCCAGTGAGTTAAGTCTGCCTGCAGCTCGTGTGCCGGCACAAATGGCTCTGCGTACCACCTGTGGCATGCGTGCCATAGGTTCGCCATCACGGTTCTAAGTGATAGTGACTCATGCTTTATCATCCTGAATCTTGATTACTGAATTTAATTTATATGGAACTGTCCTTGAAGATGATTCAGAGGTACAGCTAATTCTAAAAACACGTTTTTACCTATTGACTGATTAAAGTTTTTAAAACAGGTAATGGCACTGGTTTCTTGTTTGCTTCTCTACCCAATTAAAGCTCCTAGTAATTACATATTAAACATTTTATGTGTTAAATTTTGAGTATATTCAATAGTGCCTACTAAATCCTATGCAGTCTGCCATCTGTACAGTATGCTGGGGTATGATAGTTATGTCACATTAGTGGCAAGGCTGTCAAACTCCCGGCCTATGGGCCGGATGCATCACATGCTGGCCACACCCACACCCGGTTTAGTGAAGGGGGAAAAAAAAGTCCTGATATGTCACATGATGCCGCCGTGATGATGACATGAGTTTGACCCCCTTTGTCTAGAGTAATGTTTCTTAAAGTATGATCTTAGACCCCTGGAGATTGCCCAATAATTTCTTGGGAGACCATGAAATCATAATTATTTGCCAAATGATTAATAATATAATTATAATATTATTAATAATATAATTCCACAAAGTGGTAGCATCTGCAAATGAGTGTACTTTTAATTGGGTAAATATTGATCAATATAATTCATATAAACAAAAATTCTTTTGGTAATTTTTAAGACACAATTTTGCCTATTTCTATAAATCTGCCATGCTATAAATCTATAAATCTGCCAGGATCTATAACTCATAACTCTGAGGTGCTTGTGAGAGAGTAAAAGCTTCCAACCTTAACAACCTGATTGATTTAAAATATGTTCAGACTTGTAGGACTGCCACCTGAAATATTTGCTCTTTGGCCACAAGAGGGAGTCAAAGAATATAAAAGAGTGGGAAAGCCAAGTTTGATTGAATAAACAAGGTGAATATCAAATTACAAAGGAGGAAACCAACTCAGCTGGATGTCATGAGAAGCATTTTAGAGAAATGTTCAAACAAAATAATTGAAACAGTGGGAATAAAACAATGAAACCGTGTAAAGGAACTTCTCAAACCACTGGGGATGTTTCACAAGCAAATGATAAAACTGACTTTTGAAACACACATTTCAAAAAGAGTGTATTTTTGAAATGAGTGTTTATTATGATGTTGATTCAAATAAAATTATTTTAATGGAACTAAAAGTAGATCCACAGGTACAACTTTAAATCATAACAGAACATGTTCAGGATCTCCATTCCAAATTTGAATTTAAGATTGACACTGGGAATACAATTTGTCATGAACCTATAAGAAAATAAATTTGAAAATGTGATGAATTCATTTTTAGAAATTTTGGAACATGTTGTTGAAATTGAATTTAGAAAATTAATATATTCAATAAGGTATGGTTTTAATCTAAAAGAACATTTTTACAAAATGATATATTACCGTATATACTCGAGTATAAAGCCGAGTTTTTCAGCCCATTTTTTGTGCTGAAAAAACCCCCCTCGGCTTATACTCAAGTCAGATTCCCCTCTGAAAAAAAAAATGGTGTGGAGCTCCGGAGCTGGGCAGGCGCTTCCCTGCTTCCGTGTTTCCTTTGCAACTTTTAAGCATGGGGGTAATCGGAAGCAGAAAAGTTCTTGCATGAGGATATATTGTTTTTTCTTTTTTTAACTGTTTTTAGGGGGGGAGAAAGACCCACCGTCATGTGAGAATGCTTAGACACGAAATCTATCCGCCCGAAAATAAGTGTGTGTGTGTGTGTGGGGATTTTAACAGAGGGAAGATGTAGGGAGAAGGCAAAAGCGACGGAAGATCCTTCAGGGGAAACTGAGGGGGAGACTCACCCTTGGTCCAGATGAGCCCCCTTCCCCGCCCCTAAGGAAGCAGAGGCAGCCAGCAAGGGCAGGCAAGCCCCGCTTCACAGACTCCGTCCATCCTCACTCCCACCCAAAGCCACGAAGTCCCCCAATCGCGCAGCCCAGAATCGCCCTCCCCTCAGGGGGCAGCAACGACGCCCGGTTTTTCCCGAGACAAGAAGCTCCGCCGTGCAATGAAAGCGCCCTGGCTCTAGGCTCGCGGGCTCAAAAAAAACGCGAGCCGAGGTCGCTTCGGCTCCGCTCGGCTTCTCCAACATCCGGCACCGCCCTGTTCTATGTGCCGGGCCCGGCAAGTCCGAGCAGCCAGCGCGTGGAGCAGGGCGGCACCGGAGATCGTTGGCTGCCTCTTTCGCAGCACGGTAGGCCTCCCCCGGCTGGCCAGCTGCTCTCCTCCTTCTCTGCCTGCCTTCTCTGCGCCGAGGGAGGCGGCTGTTGGTGTCCGGCTTTGCTCCGCTTCTCCGGCGTGGCCGTTTTTTACTTGGGCAGCCGGGCGCCCGCAACGGCGCCCACGGCGGCAACAGGCAGTTCCGCCCGGGCTCCGCTCAGGTTTCCGGCTGGGGCTGTCGGGAATTGCTGCCGCTGGTGCGGCCCCAGTCCCGCGTCGCCTCGGGAAGGGAAAGGCAAAAAGCGCTTTGTTCTGTGTGACTGAGGAGGAGGAGACCGGCCGGCTGGTTGGGGGAGGCCTTTCCCTTCCCATTGCGGGCGCCCGGCTGCCCAAGTAAAGAACAGGGCCGCGCCGGAGAAGCGAAGCAAAGCCGGACACCAACAGCCGCCTCCCTCGGCGCAGAAAGCCTCCCCCAACCAGCCGGACGGTCTCCTCCTCCTCGGTCACACAGAACAAACAGGCAGAGAAGGAGGAGAGCAGCTGGCCAGCCGGGGGAGGCCTCCCGTGCTGCGAAAGAGGCAGCCAACTATCTCCGGCGCCGTCCTGCTCCACGCGCTGGCTGCTCGGACTTGCCGGGCCCGGCACATAGAACAGGGCGGTGCCGGATGTTGGAGAAGCCGAGCGGAGCCAAAGCGACCTCGGCTCGCGTTGTTTTCTGAGCCCGCGAGCCTAGAGCCAGGGCGCTTTCATTGCACGGCGGAGCTTCTTGTCTCGGGAAAAACCGGGCGTCGTTGCTGCCCCCTGAGGGGAGGGCGATTCTGGGCTGCGCGATTGGGAGACTTCGTGGCTTTGGGTGGGAGTGAGGATGGACGGAGTCTGTGAAGCGGGGCTTGCCTGCCCTTGCTGGCTGCCTCTGCTTCCTTAGGGGCGGGGAAGGGGGCTCATCTGGACCAAGGGTGAATCTCCCCCTCAGTTTCCCCTGAAGGATCTTCCGTCGCTTTTGCCTTCTCCCTACATCTGGGGCTGTCGGGAGTTGCTGCCGCCGGTGCGGTTCCGGTGCCGCGTTGCCTTGGGAAGGGTGGGGCAAAACCAGGAGCCGCTGAGCCTGAGCCTCCGGTGCCGCTGCCGCTGTTGCAAAGCGCTGCCGCGGCTCTTCCTTTTTGCCTTTCCCTTCCCGAGGCGATGTGGGACTGGGGCTGCGCCGGCGGTAGCAACTCCTGACTCAGGGGGCCTCCGAGGGAGGGGAAGAGAGTGACTCCTGCCTCCCGCTGTCATCATCATCTTCTTCTTTTGGGTTAGTGAATCAATTAAACCTTTCATGATAGTGAGATCGTTTCCCAAATTAATTATTTTTATTTTTGAAATTTACCAGTAGCTGCTGCATTTCCCACCCTCGGCTTATACTCGAGTCAATAAGTTTTCCCAGTTTTTTTGTGTAAAATTAGGTGCCTCGGCTTATATTCGGGTCGGCTTATACTCGAGTATATACGGTAAGTATTTATTAGCATTTCAATTGAAAAGGATAATAAATGTAGAGCTGTAGTTATTGTAATTATAAGATATTAATTTTTAAGAAATGTTTTGATTTTTAGAATGATATAAAACTGGCATTTGAAGTTTTTTGTCTAGATTGTTGGCCATAGACTGGGAAAGGAAACCTAGATCTCTCTCTCTCTGTCTCTGTCTCTCTCTCTCTGGTCTCCCTTTTTCTTTCAGAAAAAGAGCCATGCTGACAGCATTGTATATGAAAATTAAAATGAAATTTTAAGTTAAAGATTGGTTTAACTATATAACTATATAAATCTCTTGTTATTCAAAATGCAAAACAAAATGAGGCTGTATTTGAATTGTACTGAAAAGAGTTGGAAATCACTACTTTTTACTTCTTTTTCTCCTATTCTCTTTCTCCCTTTTCCTGATTTTTATTTTAATTTGTATTTTATACTACAAAAAATGTTCTAATAAAAATTTCTTGAAAACAATGAATAAAATATATAAAACTGAACATTTATATTCCAGATGGACAGTGCAAAAGGAAAATGATAGACATGAACCATCAATCCAAAAATAATAATGTTCAAAATAAGAATCTCTTGCTTGAATATAAGGAAACGTCTACAGAATCACAGTCTACAAATGAAAAGTTCATTAGAGAAGGAAAAAAGTGTCCTTAGTAATTAATGATTTTATAATTGAAAGATCATTTTAGTTAATGCACTGTTTTGTTCAAAAATACTAATAATCTAAAACAATTCTCAGTTTTCCATTTTTTATATAAGAGCAGGGTGGTAACAAAATTAAAACTCACTAGAAGGGTTAGATGAACTTACCAGAAAAATTCTTTCAAGCTGATCTTGAATATCTTTCATTCCTGGAAAAGCAGCAACTCCTTGAATCATTTCCACAAAAATGCAACCAACTCCCCTAAAAAACAAGAATAAAATAAATTACAGGGCAAAAAAATCTGCATGAACCCTCGTACACACCCTGAAGATAGTTTTATTCACTGTGAGTAAGTATGAGAAACATTACTGTTATTGCCTATGAAAAACTCAGACTTGTTCTTTTTACAAAACAGCTTCAAATAGAGCACTGAAAACTGATATCCCTTTCTGTTAACAAAATTATAGTGATAGAAGGCTCTAGTATCACAAGAAATAGAATAAAGAAAAACTTCATAACCATTTATTTTATTGTTACTAGATGGTGCTCACGTTTTATTTATTTATTGGTATATGCATATAGCATCTCAACTGGAACTTTGCAGATCAACTTTGCAGAACTTTACACTCAAGACAAACCTTGTTCAAATAGGGTCGGCTATTACTAAGACAACCAGAACAAAAATATAAACAGGTTTTGTAGATATTTATCTAAATCATGGAATTAAAGTGATTGTTTAATTTTAATTGCAGACTGTTGCCTTTTTTTCTTTCTAACACAGAGTATTGTGTTTCATGGCATCGACATGATCTTGCACAGAAACCTAGTGTTGGAATAAAAAAATGTGAGGGCAATCTGGCAGAGACATCTGTTATCCCATTGATCGCCAGGGTTTGATTAGGCTGATCTGGCTGCTAAGTGGATGTCCCCTTCCTCCTCCATCATTCCATGTGTGTCCTGAAGATGCGCCCTTGTTGATGAGGATGGCCATCCCAGATAGAAGTGTACCAATCTTCGGTTAAGGACATAGGAATAAAAAAGTAACTTTAACCATATGTTTGCATGCAGTTTCATGGAAGTTATATATACATGTACAGTCATGAAAAAAAAAACATAGCTGCTAGCATATGAATAATTTTTTTTAAATTCTTATATTGCAACTACAAATTTAAAAAGCAAATTTGTGAACCATTCTAATTTTTTAAGATGATAGCGCAAATCATTACAAACTTCCATTAGAAACTGCAATGAAATAAAGTGATTGGGTGCTTAAAGAACAAAGAAGACGATACATGTATACTTTCTAGAATGTATACATACTGAATGCTTTCCACACCATCCAGAGGCTTCTTTGAGTTTCTTATGACTATTTATGTAGAATATTCTATTCACAATCCATCAGTAATCAGCTTCAGCAATGCTTTTGTAAAAGATTAAGCTTAATATGGAAGTCATAAAGTCATAATCAATATTTCTATGAACACTATTTCTGTAAATGCACATTAACAACTTTAATATAATCAAAATAATTTTGCAGTAACTCACCACTATTTGGTATAGGAATGCTGCCCCACCCAATTTGATTTAATATTTAAGGGTTTAGGCTAGAAAACAATAGAATGTGAGTTCTAGTCCCACTTTAGTCATGAAAACCAGTGGGATGATTTTGAACACTCTCTTTCAGTTCAATCCACTTCACAGGATTGTTGTGGGGAAAATAGGAGAAAGAAGGAATATTAGGTATGTTTAAACACCTTGAATTATTTCCAAATTAACGAAGTCAGGACACCAATAAATCCTTAATTAAATAATATATATTGATATCTGAGTTACTTATAAAGTAATAAAGGGAGGGGATAAAAATATAATAAATAAATAAACCTAGTAGTTTTGAATATATAGAATTAAAATTTTGTTTCCAAAGAGGAAAAACACTCTCTGTATATACTTTTTATTCAAAGGCCTGGTAACAAAATAATGGAAAACAGTGCCCTTCTCCCTTAATGTTGGAATCATTAGGAAGATGGATTAATCCTCCTGATTCTTTGGCAGGACCCTAAAATACATTTGGGTTTGATTGGGCAAAACTACCTTTAATCACCCCAAAGAACATTTCATTTATGACCATCAATTTAATGTTAGTATTCAATAAGGAGAGGAGAAAAGAACAAAGAGTACACCCTACTAATATGCAAGTAAAAGGCTCCAATATCCTCAATTCGCAATGAACTCTAAAAACCAAAATATTAATAAATTAACATTTATTACTTCAGTAAGCTGAATTGACTTCATGAATTTTGTGTGGAATTATGTAGGTAGGATTGATAGAAAAGGATATTTGTAGTTCAGAATCCGGCCCTCTCAATTCCTGGCAAACAGATAGAGGAGAAATGGACGTAGTGACAGATTTTATTTTCCTGGGTTCCAAGATCTCTGTAGATGGGGACTGCAGCCAAGAAATTAAAAGATGCTTGCTCCTGGGAAGGAAAGCTATGACAAATCTAAACAGCATACTAAAAAGCAGAGACATCACCCTACCAATAAAAGTACATATAGTCAAGGTTATGGTTTTCCCAGTTGCAATGTATGGCTGTGAAAATTGGACCCTAAGAAAGGCTGAATGGCAAAGAATTGAGGCCTTTGAACTATGGTACTGGAGAAGATTCCTGCGCGTCCTTTGGACTGCAAGGCGATCAAACCGGTCAGTCCTAGAGGAGATCAACCCTGACTGCTCTTTAGAAGGCCAGATCCTGAAGATGAAACTCAAATACTTTGGCCACCTAATGAAAAGGAAGGACTCACTGGAAAAGATGCTGGAAAAATTGAGGGCAATAGAAGAACGAAACAACAGAGAATGAGGTGGCTGGATGGAATCACTGAAGCAGTAGGCATGAGCTTAAATGGACTCCAGAAGATGGTAGAGGATAGGAAGGCGTAGAGGAACATTGTCCATGGGGTCACGATGGGTCAGACACGACTTCGCAACTAACAGCAACAAAGTTCAGATTGAACCATGGGGTCCATGGGGTCAGAAAGCAGCTTGGCTGTTTTCTTGCAGACATTTCATTACCAAACTAAATAATATCATCGGTCCTAGAAGGGAATGGGGCTTGCTTTCATTTTTTATACTAGTGGCTTACTCTGTTAATGTTGGTGGAAACGATCTTGGTGTTCCTTGGTTGGGCTTCTCTGACTCTCTCAGTAAACAACAGCCTAATCAAAGAACCACCAACATCACTTCCACAAACATTGACAGGACAACATTAATATTTATTTCTGATTTTGTTTTTCAAAACTATCCTTTAACATTTCCAGTATCAGAATATTTTGCACCATTCTGTAACCGTTAGCCAAATTTCAATATGTCTCTTTTGATTGAAATCTAATTCATTTTAGTGTCCAATTTAAAAACCCTTATCTTACTATTTTTAAAACAAAAGCATTTTCCACAAGAAGGATTCTACTCACCATACCAATTTTGAGAGGTGTCAGAGGCAGTGCAAGAGTACTGCCCTTTCACTTAACTCCCAGAGAGTTTGGAGGCCATGAGCACACCATGTTGTCACATAGCCTCTGGAACCACCAAAAACACCATGAGAATGAGATTTCATAAGCTGCGCAAGAGAAGGGTATGCTTTCGCATGGCCTCCATACAAACTTGTTGATTACAACTGTGTTCAGTACATGAGGACTACCTAAAAGTGGTGCTCCTATCATCACTCACAAAGGCTGATGGGACATGTTACTATAGAAAATAATGAGAAGCAACATCACTGCAGAAAGCTACCCATTATTCAAGTTTCAAATTAATCATGGTCTCAAATGAACTATAAATACTCTAGAAAGATATATAAAGTGCTGTCTTTCTCTTTAATATCCTACTGATTTTCTACCTCTAAAATATAAAAGGAATGAAAAATCTAAAGTAGGAGGGATGCATCAGTGAGGTATTAAAGTGGATATATGAAAGATATATATCAAGAACCAAATGGGTTCACTGCTTTTGCTTAGATAGCAGAGGACTGTAAAAAAGAAGAAAACATAGTTCAAATCAAATTCCAGGACCTATACAGCTTCTAGTTTTATATTCTTCTTTACTTATCAGTGCAAACTAAAAGGGAAAAGCAACAATGAAATTCTAATCATGTTGCTTAACTTAGCATCTTTCTCCTCTTTTCCTTAACCACAGGACAAAAGCTAGGAAAGATAAAATAAATAAAAATAGAAAAAAATCATATTTAACTTTCAGGATTACTTTGTTGACATTTAAAAAAAAAATTACATGGATTTATACTTGTAATCATATTAAATAAGAATACTAACTATCCTAAAAGAAAGGCACTAAAATAATAAACTGGAGCAGATTTATATTATATAATATTTCTAACATATTACAAATCACTTAGTTACATGGTGAGACTAGTACACTATAATATATTCCACAATGATTCCCACTGCTTGTTTTTACTATTACTAATGCCATGGATAGCTTCATTAATATTCTTAAATAGCTAGTGGCTATTTACACAGAAAGCTGGAGAATATTAATATTGAATATGAATCATTAGCTTTTGGTTACTTTCCAATGACATACAGTGACAAATGAAGTGTATAAATAGCTTACAGCCACTGCCACCTGCTTCCCACCATTGTCCTATGGTTAAATTTGTATTTCTTTGCCTTTTTAAAAAAAACCTTAACAACTATAGCAACCAAATACTGTAATTTCCAGATGAAGGACTGATGAATTATGAAAATTAAGGGATAACTTGCACAATTTGCATACATGTATAGATGTGCAAATAGTACCCATGAATATACTTTATTTCTATTAATTTCTCCATTCATATTTCCACACAAATCACATTGTTATACAGCACACATCTCTTCCTCTATTACAGAGGAATCAAAAATAAAATGTAATGTACAAATAACCACAATTACAAATATTATTTTCTTCTGTATTAATTTCTCAATAACATTACCCCTGTGTTATACTGTTTCTGATGGTTATCCAGGTATAGGCTTTCTATTGTAATTTAAAATAAATATAGAATTTCTATAATAGAAGATAGTAAACACAGATATAGGCAACCTGAGATAGATTGAATTGCTATCTATATAATTCTAAAGTTATTGTGTCTTTTGTAACCTTCAATTAGGTGAAACGATGGATCATAGGGCAATGTTTGAAACAAGATACCTCAAATGGGCCAGAATGCTAGGTTCCAATACTCCCATGGGAATGAAATTTGTTAAAGTTGTGGCCACTTTAGCACTACTATGCTGCTACAAACAGATTATTCCAATGCTTCCTGAGAATTTCCCATAAATACATAGGAAAGCCAGCAGGAAGAATAAACTTGATTGTGATTACTGATGTTCCATACCAACTTCAAACAAATAAAGGGGGCTGATAGGGAGCATAGACAAAGGGTACAGGTTGGGGATGGTACATGGGGAAAACATGAGAGATGTCATGTATTTATATGGAGGAGTACATGGGTTGGGGCATAGGTGAATGTTAGGTAAGAAAATGCTTCTGAACAATGAGTCAGGGATTATCTAGTTTAATAAATATGTTTTGATAACCTGCAATAAAATAAAAAAAGGAAAAGATAAAAATTTAAGAAGAAATCTAAATTGAATTAAATAATTTCAGACAGTCATTCTAGGAAGATGTTTCAGGCATAGGCTTGTGGGATAGGAAAATGCCAAATAAGTTTGGATAGTTGAAGCAGTGATGCTGGTTAAATAAATGTTACAATGCAGAATACATCTAGGTGCAGTGGTTCTAATGCAGTATTTCAGGCAAACTCTGCCCACAGCCTGGAGTTTGATTTTGATTCAGTTTTGCATCCTTCCAAGCTCAGTAAAATGAGGAACCAGATTGTTGGGGGCAATATGCTGACATTATCAACTGCCCAGAAAGTGCTGTAAAGCACTATGGAACACTATCTAAGTCTAAATGCTATTGTATATGTCTACAAATAAACAAGAAAAATGATGAGAAAAATAATAATTGATTCTAAGATAAAAGGAAAATTATTCTGTGAAAAGACCCTTAACTGGTGGAAGGCTTTAAAATTGTCCTCAAAGGTCAGAATTTTTTGACAATATACTGACAGAAAAAAATAGAAAATTCTTATTTGGAGCATTTTTTAGATACAGTAAAAAAAATATAAAATCTAAAACAGACCACCCATAACCAAAATCAAAATACATTGCCTATATCTGTGTTTACTATCTCAGGTTGCCTATATCTGTGTTTACTATTTTGTTCAGTTGAACAAAATAAAACAAAAAAACAGATCAACTCTACCACAAATCGTCCAAATCATCTAAATAAATTTGTGTAATAGTTTTTTGAAAAATAACAACATGGGGGGAAATTTCAAGTGAAGTTAGATAACTCCATAATCTCGGGACTACCTCTAAGATGGCAATAAAATAGCAGAATATAAATTTAATACACATATAAACTGGACTGGACTCATAAATTTGGCAGCCCTTTGAAAAGTCTGCTATAGTCTAATAGTATGGAAATGAATCACTGTGCCTGGACAGTTCCCATTATTTTGCTATAGTAAAATACAGAAAATAATGCTGCTTCTGCATGACAAAGCATATAAGGTGGGCAAAATTATACATGAGCACAGAGCTGGTATTTTAAAATATATTACCATATTTTTTGGAATAGATTCAGCTGAAATTCAGTTGAAGACAATGTGTAACATTTAAATGCTGCTATCAGATGTACCCAAGAGCATATATCTACTTCAACTAGTTTGATATATTTGCTCCAGACTGCAGGTTGAAATTGTTCAGTATTTTGCAGAAAATGAATTATAATTTTGGTGGATTCATATATTTGATAGATGTAATCAGTAATGGATCATTTTTCACCTGGAACAAAAACATTTTTCCTGAAAGGTCTTTTATGTCTTTTTGACTTTTGAATTAGAAGACCTACATCATGAGACCTCAATGTTTCATGATTATTAGTAACAAGATATTGTTTTTGTCTTCCAGCTATGATTAATTTTACCTTGGAAATAGTCATATGTATTACAAGGAAAATAAGTTTTTGACTGGTTTGATAGCCTCCCTCAGAATGAATTTCATTTTAGAAATCTTATACTATTAAAATACCTATATAAATGTTTCAAATCTAAGAATATATTTCTGTCAAAATTATGATCATTGAATTTATCTGATCAAAAACTGGTAGTCATTTTTAATCAGAATAAATGACAACATTCAATTAATTTGTACATACCATTTTCATATCCTTAATGAAAATCAATAATATGAAATTACATTTTCATGACCACAAAAACAGAACAAACAAACATTCCCAGAAGTAATACATCTTAAGGGAAATGTCTGTTGATAGCAGAACCATATTTTTGGACAAAACTTTAGTATAATGCAGGAACTGCAAGAGTCCAAACAAAAACAGAGAACAAATGAACTCAGAATTTCCGCCCAAGTTAAGCTTATTACCCAAATTTTCCCTTCAGTTATACTACAGTAACAGAAATCTGTTTATCTACACAGTAAGTACTTAACCACATAGGCAATGTTGGAAGATTCATATGCTTTTTGTTGTTGGTACTCCAGAAACAAATGAAATTTTTTACAATTTGCTATAGAAGCTGATTGCAATATCATGCACAGTAATTTTCAAGCACAGATGGTAGAGAGAAATGTGTTTTTTCTAATTAAATGACTTGAAAATTGATTTCATAAAATGAAAATGAAACAGTAACATTCTACTTCCATGCCAATTACTGTATTCCTCACCCTCTCCTTCTCCTCCCACACCAAGAAAGTGCACATGGAAGCAGAATGCAGTCTTTTATTTATGTTTGATAAAAGGCATAGTGAAAAAAAAATCCTTTGAAATCTAGCATTCTTAATTTCCTAAAATTTGGTTGGTGAAAAAATGTATAACAACAGCTATTGTCTTCCAGTGTACTTACTACCAGGATCCTGGATGCTTGGAACTTAGCAGAAATGCTAACTGTCCCATCTTCAAAACAATGCTTCTACATTTTAAAAGCTGAAGATAAAACCACCAGTAGTTATATAATTTCTTCCATGTACAGACTAAGTAATTGTAAAAATTCTCCAAGGAAACCTAAATTTTAATATTTGATAAACAAAAGTCTTCAAGATACTCCAAAGCAATACAATGAAAATGAGGAAGCTTTTTCTGTAATAAGTATCACTGACCTACAAAGTTTTTTGGCCTCCTTTCATCTGATCTGGCAAATGAAGTTAAATTACTGAGGCCTCTTGTGCCTCAATAGGTGCTGCTTAGAGAATTCTATTCCAGTGTCCTATTATTGTGAGTGGTGTTATAAATGTTTATTCCTTAACTTAAAGAAAGAAGAAGCAAAAGTCCCCCAAATGTTAGACCATCTGAATGAAAACTAGGACTGTTTTATCAAATGTTTAGATGGCAGGAAATAAAATTCATAAAAAGCTTGATAGGTTTGAGAAATGGGCTAAAATAACTGAATGAAATTAAACAGTCAGACAATTTGTTCCTTTTCAATCTTCTTTCAGTAGAATTTAGAAATGCACTACACAAATAAAGAGCACCATATTGGTTACTGTTCACTGGATTCTTTGTCCCATTAGGTTTCTAGATAGGTATGCACAAACTACAATCATAACTTGTCAAATATACAATTTGACTATACAAGTCAATATGTCCTTAATATATGGATTCTTTAAAAGTGCTGCATTCTTACCACATATCAAGGCAAGTGGAATATTCTGTTGAGCCTAAGAGAACATCTGGAGGTCGATACCAAAGGGTTACCACTTCATTAGAGTATGTGTGACTAGGGACAGATTTAGCTCTTGCAAGACCTGAAGAATAATGCAAATACAACAATAGAAAGATAAGAAAATGTGCCTTTAATAATCTTGCTCATAACACTGCTTGAAAGACAAGTTTGATCACTGTATGTTATTTTAATCAAAGAAAACTAATATTAATTTCCATCACTCAACCATTGTAAAACAAAATGAAAACTCATCATCATAACAAAGATTGCAACAATAAGATTTATCACCATTACCATCTTTTTAAAAGCTCTGGTGTCTATAATTAAACAGAAGAAAATATAATTGATATAATTTAAAAACTACTAAAGATAACTACTAAATATTAACATGCAGACATATCCTTAAGCATCAGCAGCTAAAATAAAGAATATAACCAAAACAACAAGAAAAATATTACATCTTTACCTATTTTATACTAGAATTATTTCAAGCTTTAGGCATATGCTATACTGGAGCATGCTAAAGAATGAAAAAATTGTAATTTTCCCTACTATTTTAGCATTTAATTCGTATATTATTCTTTGAAGTTCATACAGTAGGTATCTAGAACTATTATAACAGATAAAGATATGTGGAACATCAAAAATTTAAAAAAAATTATCACCAAAAGAAATTTCTTTTTCTTAAATCTCATTGCAGGTTGATGCAAATGGGAACATGAATAAATGATTTTAAAAACTGTGGAGAGGTGAGTGTTATGGGAAAAATTGTGGTAAGTAGTAGAATTGTCTTTATTGATTTATGCCATTCAACAAATTAAGCCAGCATTAAGCTCTGTTATGTAGAAAAATATACTGCCATATGGTAACTATAGTGTCCTTTTTAAAATTTTGTTTTCTAAATAACCAGACTGAATGTCAATATATTATTAAAGTGTGCTTGAATATCAGCCTTTTAAAAAAAAATCACCATAATTAAATGGTAGTATGTCTTGGTAATTTGGCAAAAAAACCCAAAAATAAATAAAGCTACTAACTATGTCTGAATACTTTTGCTAGCATTAGCAATTTGAGAAAGAATATATTTCTTTCAAAAATTGCTCACAAAACCAGTATACCCTTGAAGTTACTGCTATTTTCAGAAGATCAATTGAACAAATGCACAAATCTCAATATTTTTATTGAGGCTGTAGCCCGCGAAAGCTACTGCCTCAGACACAAGATATACTCTGTCATATTCTGAAAGTTCAGAATCAAAATCAGAGTCTTCCCTTCCTCTCCACTGAAAGTGAAGAAAATATGTTGGATTTGTTTTAGAAGAAGAAACAGAGGAAATTAATATTGCTTGTACACCCACTGAATTATCAAGAAGTGGAATAGTCCAAACAATTGAAGAATAATCTAGGTAATTGCCACTATGAATATCCAGCATTTATATATATTTTATAAAGAGCTTCAATCTTCATTGGACAATCCTAAACTTTATTTTGCTGGTATGTGAAATTAAGGATATAGTATGATAGCTTGCACACACTGTTAAGTCTTTTTTTTAAAATTAGAATGTTGATCTCTTCAAATTTGTTGGCCATTGTGTTATTCTCCAGATTTCTTGTACTGATTGGACTGGATAGAAATATTATTTCTCTGTTGCTTGCCATGTTTCTATGAGTATTACATCAGTCCCTGCAGGCTTCTGACTGAATGCTATTCTAACTTTAATACCAGAGATTCTTATAAACAGGGAGTATCTTGTAAGAGGGCTGTAAACTGTATCATATTTCAATATCTCATTTAATTTTTGTTTGATTTCTTTGAAATAAAACCTGCTTATTGGTGTCCTTTAACATATAACATATAAGTTGAAGCTTGGAATCCCATTTTCAGTTCAGAATTTTTTTTGAAAGTTTTTTTTCCCCAGGCTTATTTTTCTATCATCTATGTCTTGACATATGCTATTGTAATACTCCTTCTTGTCTCTTCAAACATCTCTCTCTGAAATTCCTTTTTAAGTTCCTTTCTGATATTTGTGTCCTTGGTTTTGGCTTCTTTAATTTCTTTGACAATTTCCACAGTTTGTTCTGTCATCTAGTTTTCTTTTGTTTGACGGTCAATGATTGCATTCTACTGGTTAAGGCATCAGCTATAGACCCAGGAAAGTGAATTCTTGTGCTTCTTTAGACATAAAATTTTGGGATTTGGGCTAATCATACACTCAGGCTGAGCTCACAGGGTTTTTTGGTTGTAGAAAAAATAGGAGTAAAGATTATTAGGCATGTTCACCACGTTGAGTTATAAAAATAAAAAGCATCTTTAAAAATTGTTCTTGCTATTCCCTGCTTAGCAATATAAGGAACACCATTATTTCTTACTTTTTCATGTCCTAAGTAATAAATAGTGTGATTTTTTTTACATCTGAAATGTCCAAACCATGCCCATTCCCAATTTTCTGATGCATAAGATGTCAATTTCTAAATTTCATTTCATTTATTCTTTCACTGTGTTCAGCTTCCCCATGTTCGTGCTTCTTATGTTCCATGTTCCATGTGTTTTCAGCTTCAGATTTTCTTTTCCTATATGGCAATACCACCAATTAAAAGTTCCAAAAGTTTTAACCGAGCCATATCATTAGTACACTGAAAAATCTTCATCTTTTCCTCAGTGGCATGTGGAGTGCCATCTGATCTGAGAGGTTCATCATCTGGTATTATATTGTAAATCATCTCATGTTTTCTTTCTATGTATTTTTTCTCAATGTAAGTATAAAAATGATTTATCACTGCGTTCTCCCTCATTCCTCCATATGAATAGATACAAGTCATCTGCTGGGCAGCTGGGAAGACCCTCAAGGACTTGGTGACTCTGTTGGGGATATACAGTATTCTCTTGGCAAGCAATTCCAAAGTTCTTCATTCATTTTTTCTAGGAACTCCCCAACACCATGAGGAGATAGCCCAGTAGCAGTGATGGTGAACCTTTTTGTTGTTGTGTGCCGAAAGCGTGCATGTGTGCGATAGCGCCCATATGCATGTGCTGGCACCCACAATGCAACATCCCCCCATGCATGCGCATGCAACCCCCCCACTCCCTTACCTGCACTGTGCATGCCTCCCAGCTGATTTTTGGCCTATTTGAGGCTGTTTTTACCTCCTGGGTGCTCGAAGGAAGCCTCTGCAACCTCGGGAAGCTGAAAACGGACCCGTTTCAGCACTTCTGGAAGGCCAGTTTTTCGGCCTCCCAAGGCTGCAGAGGCTTCCCTCGAGCCTCTGGGAGGCTGAAAACTGCTTCAAATGGGCTGAAAATCAGCTGGGAGTCGCAAACATATGCAGTGCAGTTAAGTTTGGCTGGAGCTTGCGTGCCCGCACAAATGGCTCTGCATGCCACCTGTGGCACATGTGCCATAGGTTCGCCATCACGGCCCAGTAGGATTGGGAGATGGCAAATATCATTAAACTTTATCATGTAATTATTAAATAATAAATTGTAATATTTCCCCATCTAGCAGGGAGACAATGTCATTTGTAGAAGAAAGCAGCATTTAAGTCACCAAATCTTCTTTTCAAATCTTCCTTTTCAGTTGTAAACAATAGCATTGTTGTTTGAATACTTCTATAATTTGTTTTCACCAATTTACTTATATTTTATTATCTTAAATTTAAAATAAATATTTTAAATGCAGTTAGTTCTATTTATTTCTCATGAGATTAGTCTAACTTCTAATGACAGGCTCAAGCATTGTATTATCTAACTGCTGGCACCTGTTCTACTTGGATGCAGTATTGAAATTATTACTTTTTTCTTCCCTGTATTTGAAACTTGGCATAAGTTGCCATCCAAATATTGGGAAAGGACACTGGATTATGTGCCCTTATATGGTATCTGCTGCTGGTAGGGTCTACTGTGATTATACTCCAAAGCAAAAGATTAAGTTGGGACTGGTCTTTAATCTGCAATCTACTTGTGAGCTCAGCTATTCCACTATTTAAAAATTATTCAATATCTTCACATCTTTTAATGAGCATATTTAGAAAAAGATAGGACAATTTCATAGTAGCAATTATAATCACTGCACTTAAATAATTTCAATATTAAAATAATATATGCCTTAAAGTTATATCTAATATGAAATTAGATCTAAAGCAATGTGAATTTTTAAATATTAGTGGGTTTTTCCAACTAGTCTTAGTAAAGAAGCCAGTTTGGTGTAGGCTAGAAACCAGGAGACTGTGTGTTTTAGTTCTAGGCATAAAGTCTTTAGTTATAGGCATAAAGCCAGCTGGGTGCCTTTGGGCCAGTTACTCTTCTCTCAGGCCTAGGAAGCAGCCAATCTAAGATCTTTCAAAGAAATCGTCAAAAACTTGTCTAGGTAGTTGCAAGGAGTCAACACTGGCTTAAAGACAAAAAACAAAAAAAACGTCTTAGTAAAAACCTATAACTAGGTACCAGACAACATTCTGAAGGTACAAATTTTAAGGCACACTGCAATATTTTGTCCTTTTGCTTTAATGCAATATTTAAATATTTGCTATATTTAACATTGTATTTAAAAACAAAAGTAAATTATAGGTGATCAGAAGGAAGAACAAAGTGATGAAATATTCAAGAAACACACAACTACAATTTAACAGGTCTAAATTATTTAAGTAATTATACTTTCTCATGATCAGCAATCTGAGTTATCAAACAATAGTTCAGCATCTTAGAAATAGTTGTATTATTGTCATTATATTATAGCATTACCAAACACCTAAAAGATTACATTTACTTTAAGACTGTCAGGTTACAAATAAATGTTCATTATATCACTATTGGCTTCTCCAATAATGGCAACATATTTCATATTATTTGTGAATCCATACATGAATCCTCATCCAAAATTTATCTAACTGCTTCTTCCAGCTGAGGGAAAACTGTAGAACAGGATTAATTAGCACAGCATGTGCAATCACTTTGTTTAAGGATGTCTTGTCTATTTCCATGGTTACACTATAGGAAGCCATGCACTCTCTTTTTATAATCAGGGTTCCTGATATGGGTAGATATGGGAACTTTTTAAATTTTCAAGTGAGAGTGAAAGCAAAAGCAAAATAATGAACAGACAACATTTGACAATTTTGGCCTGACTATAACTTCATGACAATTCTGTGAAGGGCCTTTCAGACCTTTCTCTTTAATAAAATTAATAAAAAGGTCACTAAGGAAACATCCTGCTGCTATACCTGAATTCTTTACAGCAACAAGATGAGTAATAGTTAGCATATCATCTAATTGTCAAATTATCCTATGTCCAATAAAAAAAATCTCAAGAAAATAATAGGTGAAGGACATGCGTTATTTACTTTATATCAGTGTCACTACTTATTGCACATATTCAAAGACATCTAATGCCAACTAAATGACTGTTTATTAACAACATTACGAATGCAGTTAAACAATGTTTCTACATTATCGATACCAGTAAATAGTATTAATATTTGATCTAGCAGTTATGGCACCAGGCTAGAGACTGTGAGTCCCACCTTATCAGTGAAAATCAGCTGGATAACTTAGGGCTAGCCATTCTCTCTCAGCCCAATCCATCTCACAAGTTTATTATTGTGGAAAAAAATAGGGGGAAGATGTGTTCGATATGCTTACCATCTTGAGTTATTTTGTAAACATAATAAAGGTGGGATACAAATGAATACATAAAATAAAGATAAATTCACCATACAAAGGGTAGTCAGGGGTGGGATTCAACTGGTGTTATTACCGGTTCGGTGACTACGTTTTGTGTGTGCATATAAAAAACCTTCAGCTGTGCTGCCTGGACAGCTGAAAAGTACTGCATGCAGGTGTGCAGCATTTGAAAAACCACTTTTTTCCTGCTTTTTCAACTTCAGCTGTGCTGCGCAAAGCAGCTGAGGTTGAAAAAGTAGGAAATAAAGGATAGGTAAAAGCCCAGGCAGGTGGGTGAGCCAAACAGTAGCAAACACAGAACCGATTCAGTGTCTGCTGCTCTTCAGAGCTACCGGTTCTATAGAACCGGGCAGAACCGGTAGCATCCTACCGAGGATAGTTCATTAAACAAAATGAATTTTAAATTAACACTATCCACCTTTGTAAGGTTATTTTTCACAATAACAGGGAGGGAAAACATTCTGGTTCCCAATAATCGTTCTATGATCTTTAAGAAATCACAGAGTCAGTTACCGGCAGAAAAGAACAGAAAATATCTTCAAAAAGATTGGGAAAAGAAGGTTTGGTCTGTTTGATACTGATGAGAAAGACATTGACAAAATGAGGAGTATCAGAGAGCAGCAGCTAGCAGTATTGGGAAGTTTAGCTTGGAGAAGAGAACACTGCAGGGAAACATGATAGTTCTCTTCTAGTATCTGAAAGGCTCTAATATAGAAGATGCAGAATTGTTCAGAAGATATAACAAGAAACAATTGATTTAAATTACAAGGATGTAATTTAATTGGCTAGAAATAAGGAAAATTGACCTAAAATTCTAGTATTAATGAGACCATAATATGCCACAAATAAATGAGAATGTCCTGAAATAACCTATACAGGACCAAATTTGTCCAGCTGTGCAGTAAATAGCATCCTATTAAATTAGTATGAAACTCTGGAATAAGATATTATGCATATATGTACTACTTAGAAATCTTCTGAAACAGAACAAATCTGACTTGGAAAAAATAATTTGTAAAGAAAACACTACACAGTTATCCTCATTTAGCAACTGCCCAAAGAAATATTGTTTGCAAATATGACTGTAATTAAACAGACATTAAAGTCCATTTTCCAACCAATGTGGCATTTAGGGCAACAAACACCTTCCGTGTGAAAATGACTAAGGTGTGGTCAGTTTTAGGCAGCAATTGAAAGTAAGATAGAGGGTTCTTATCAATTTATTAAGGTCACATGGTTGAGTTTGTTAACCTTTCGTTAGTGCATTTTAAAGAAATATTTTTTTAGCTGTCTGAAGAGAAAAACAGCTAAGGAAGATATAGCTTGTTCAACCAATCTGCCCCGCAAAGGGGGAGGGAAATGGGAAAAATGGGTCAGGCACAAAATACTATATGAGAAAATTTTATCTGAATAAAATGGCAGCAACAAATGATCTTTGCAGTCTCTTTCTCTCTCTCTTTGTAGTCTCTCCCTTACTTAAGTAGCAAAATCAATAAAATTCAATATAAATATATGCGCACGCTCACACACCGGATATATATATATTTGCATTTCTTTTGTGTATGATATTACTGATATTGTTATGAGTGAGTCTTCTATGTAGCGGAATAGTTATGGTTTGAAAACTGTATTTATATCCCTTTTTCCCTATTTGAAAAATATTAATGTTTCGCTCTTTTAAAATTTCATTTAAAATCCTGTGATAACTAAAATCTTGCAGCTATGCATTCTATGTTTTCAAATGATCTCTTTAATACTCAAATGGAAGAAAGGGGTGATCAGCAACAAGATAAATGGACTCAATATCAGTGGCAAAGGACACACTATTACAAGACCCAAAGGGCGAAGTTGGAGACAGAACAACCTGAAGGAAGTCTATGGGACCACTAACAATACCAACTAGATGGCACACAATCAAATATGAAAGATGAAAGATATTTCATTCTTTTGGTCTTTTGTGGGAACAGGAAGTGGAAGTACTGTATGCTACCTTGAGTTGAATAAATAAAGGCAAACTAAATCAAAGACATATGAACTTGCTGCATTACCTGTTTCATTTTCTCTACTGGTGGCCAAAGTCAACTTGTACTGTAACTAAGAAGAGAAGGGCTCAAGCCATCTCTCAACATTGCTTACATCATTATCAAATAATCTTGTAATTAATGGCTTGCCTACCAAAATCTGCCAGTTTCAACTCCCCAGTGTCACTGATCAGAAGATTTTGGGGTTTCAGATCCCTGTGCAAAATGTAACGGTGGTGGATGTACGAAAGTCCTCGCAGCAATTGAAATAAAAATAACTGAAAAAGAGGGGGGGAAAACATGTTCATTAATATTTGTATGTAGTGCATTGCCTTCCTACACAAAGATCAGAATGCAATAATGTGAAACGTTATTAATATAGATATTATTTCAAACCAGGATTTTTAACTGAACCTACAGGAATTAACACACACACACGTTTCACTATATCCAAGTGCATAACCCTTCTTTCACAATTCTCAATAGTAATTCCATCAAAAAATAAATTGTATCAAATAACAGTTATATTCTATTTATTTGCATAGTTTATAGATTAGATGACAGCCTAAAGACAGGTGTGTACACTTGCTAATTATAGAGAATAACAGAACATGGAAAGTAGTGATACACAAGAACACATTCCTTACAAGAAAAAAAATAGGAATGAAAAGGGATTATACTCAAAGATATTTTAGCTGCAGCAAGTCATTCAAATCTTTATTTTGAAAGCTCAAACTATGAACAAAGCTATTTTATTATTTTTCATTCATCTACAGTAGCTTTCAGAACTGACAATGAGATTAGCCATTTTCTCGGTATGTAAACCGCTGTGCATTTTATATATTATTAAAAATTCAGACTTGTATGAACAATATTTGTCAAAATATTACATCAAAAACTGTCTTGGATGCTGACAAAATATTATTATTCCATGCGAACTTCACAGAGGTTTAAGGCAAAAGTAAATCCTTTGAAAAATAATTGTTTTAACATTAATATTAATGATAAAAAGGTAATTTGATAATAGAAACAAACAATTCACATTTGATTTTGTAGTGCAGTGTATTTTAGAAGATTTATAAAATTTATGTTATTATAAGTTCTTAGATTCAGTATGCTGAATGAAATAGTTCCTAATTACTTATCCAGCTCAGTGCTGTATGAACTTGAAACTATGATTATGAAAGAAGTTAATGTAAAATACGGAAGTACAGAAATATTTCATTTCTTTTCTTATATACATATACACTACTTTAAAAAGCAGTCCTTTGAAAAGCAAATCCTTTGTTGAGGATTATATTTGCTAATAAAATACATGAATAATATTAGAACTTTCAAACAGAAAAGCTGCACTGCAATAAAAGAATTGAAGCAATTTTTTAAAAATTGCAACTATATTATAAAACTTTATTTTGAAAAAATACAGAATTAGGATTGTTGAAACAACTGCATGAAAGTTTATTTCTGACTCATCCACCCACCCCTTACTGACATTTTTTTTCCAGGAAGAAAAACAGAAAATTAATTTAAATTATTGTAGCCTCCCGGCTGAATTCTTGCTAATGTAAAAGTTTCAAGAAAAGTTCACTGGAGTTAAAACAACATGTTTCTTCTTATCTCCCATTGCAACTCACAACAATTTTAGGTTAACCTCCGATTACTGTAAAAGTTATACACATAGAAGACAATACAACTCAAGTATTCTTCTAACACTTTTATGTGCTTTGCACAGAAAAGAATTCTTATTTACCCCTCTTAATTAACATTAATCTATGGAGGGGAACTATAGCAACATCCCGATACTGGATCGCCTATGCCCAGTTCAAAGAATTCAGTAAATTAATTTCTTATGTTCTGTTGCATTTTTCAATGCAACAGAACATTTTTCAATTAGAAGCTATGCTTTATTAATGCACCCACTAGTTAATTTCTTGGACTGGTTGGATGAGGATAATTTATGCTACACAACCAAATGTGTAAATTATCTTTAAGGACCAAAGGTTCTGTTTCATCAGTATTTTTCTTATCAAGTTTTAAACTCAAAATTAAAAATCTATTTGGTTTGAAGAGAACACATTAACCAGACACCATAGCCTCTGCCTGCCAGCTTTCCCAGCCACTCACCCTATACCCGTGATAGCGAACCTATGGCACGCATTGACTCTGGGTGCTGGCATGAGAGTGCGAGCGTGCAAGTGCATGCACAATTTTTGGCACAGGAGCCCAAAGGGGTTAGCCACCACTACCTTATATGAACATCAAGTGAGAGCTGCACTGAAGGCTATGAATCCCAGTAAAGCTGCAGGTCCAGATGGGGTGCTGGGGATAGTGGTAAAGACTTGTGCCCATCAATTAGCAGGGGTACTGACAAAAATCTTTAACATCTCCCTGCAAACAGCTGTGTTCCATCAAGTTTGAAAACAGACTATTGTCTCAGTCCCCAAGAAAACAGCAATTAACTGCCTAAATGACTACAGACCTATTGTGTTAACGTCAGTAGTGATGGAATGCTTCAAAAGACTAGTTCTCCAACACCTTAGAACATGCCTCCCACCAGACTTTTAAAAACATCAGTTTACCTACAGGGGGAACAGGTCGACAGATGACGCCATAGCTACTGCCTTACATTCTGTAGCGAGCCATCTGGAGAAACCTGGAAACTATGCCAGGATGCTTTTCATTGACTACAGCTCGGCCTTCAATACTATCCTGCTGAGCATCCTTATCGAAAAGCTGAGAGACTTGGATTTTCCCTCTTCCATCTGTGACTGGATCAAAGATTTTCTGAGGGACCGACCACAAACAGTGAGGGCTGGATCTGTCACATCCACCTCCCTGAAGCTTAGCACTGGCTCCCAAAAGGGCAATACACATGATTGTGTATCATCTGAACCATCCATTGTGATCATTAAGTTCATATTGTGTCTCATTACAGGTGGAGACGAAACAGCATACAGGGGGGAGGTTCAAAAATTATCATCTCGGTGCCTAGAAAACAACCTGCCTGAACCTAAACATCAGCAAGACAAAGGAGATGGTGTTAGATTTCCGGAAGAAGAGAGAGGAACCCACCCGACTACATCGAGGGGGGCTGTGTGGACATTTCCTCCTTTAAATTCCTGGCTATGCTTCTATGTCTCCTATCCAATGGTAGGAGAGTGAAGAAGTGCTGACCGGGATGTGAGTCATCCCTGAGAAGATCTTACCTGGAAAACCAACACAACCCAGGTGGCCAGAAAGGCCCAACAGAGACTCCATTTCCTTAGGGTCTTGCGAAAGAATAAAGTGGAACAACGACTGATGACCTCCTTTTACTGGTCCACAATAGAAAGCATCCTCACATATTGCATTACGGTGTGGTATGCTGGCTTGACAGCTGCAGATAGACAGACTTTACAGAGGGTGGTGAGCACAGCACAAAACATCGTGGGCTGTTCCCTAATACCACTAGATGATATGATAGCTAGAAGAGTGAGGAAAATTCTCAGGGGTGACTCACATCCCAGTCAGCACTTCTTCACTCTCCTACTAGAAGCATAGAAGCATAGCCAGACACACCAACAGGCTAAAGAACGGTTTCTACCCTTGGGCTGTCAGTCTTCTGAACAACTGTCAGACTTCTGAACAGACTTCATGTCAACATAGTATGATAGACTTGTGGGGCCAGGGCTGACTTCCAGTGGCATTTCCATCGTGGACAGAACGAAGACCGTGATTGTGCGCGGCTTTGATCCATGCTCTCCCTGTTAGAGGGCTCCGAGCAGGGCCAGAACCATCCTGTAGGTGTGGGGAAGAAGGGGAAGACCGCCTGTTGGGTTGAGGGGAACCGCATCTCCCCTCTCTGGCTAGGTAAACTCCCTCTGAAGACGGGCTGCAGCGGTGGCTAAATATGACCACCCAGAAGACAGAGGGCTATCCGGGACAAAGATCATGCAGGAGTGGTGAAGAAGCAGACAGTGTGGCGACCAGGCGAACCAGGCATAATATTTGAATATAAAGGTACCCTGGATTTAAAGTTTTAAGAGACTTTTAAGAAAGACAGTAAAAGCGGTGACCAAAGAGAGTGGGGAGGGGGGAATTGGACATAAATGAAAGTGGCTTTGAACCTCAAAAAGAGTTAAATTGAAAGAAGAAATCAGAAGAAAATATTTGTTTAAATTGGACAATTATATGATTTTGGCACTAAAGAGGCATACTAAAAATTGAACTTGAAAATGCCAAAAATAAACAATAATAATTGGACTTACTGGATTATTGAAATTTAAAAGCCCTAAATAGGGAAGAGAAAGTGAAAAGAAAAGGTGGAACTTGGACATGACAGAGAGTGCCACCTAATGGCAAAGGAAAAATTTCAGTAACTCTTTAAAAAGTGCTTGGTTCTCTTGAAATTGGAACTTGATACAAAATAAGAGGAACTTTGATACAATAATATAGAAACCCTGAAAAGTGAAAATAGAATATTATAAAGGAAGAAGAAAGAAACTTGAAACCTAGGAATGCTAGGTGACTTTGAGAAAAATTCAAAACCCAACAGAAGGAATTTAATAATAAAAACTTATGAACATTGGACTATTTTGACCCTAAAAAATTTAAACAGGATTTAACAGAAGTTGATTGCTAGAAGCTGGTTTAAATAAACTATTGGATAACTGGACTGGACTTAAATATTGAAGAAAGAGACAAGTAAATGCACAAAAATGGCAAAACTTTGTTTGGAAATAAAATCAGACTTAAGAAGCATAAGGGAAATGATACATGAAAGAGTTGAACTGTGCAGTATTGCCTTACAAATATTAGACATGGTGACATTGGAGAACAAAGAACAAGGAGAGCCAGAAGGGGAGGAGCTGATTGAAGAAGAGGCCAGCCCTAATGAACAAACGGAACAACAAACATCAAAACAAGAGAGAAAAAGCATGGAAATTAAAACTTGGAGGTTTGAGGGGATAATTAAGGAGGTAACTGTTTGGAAAGTCAAACGAAGAAAAAGGAAACAGCAGAAAAGGGAATTACAGAAGAAAGCCCAAAAGAGAGAAGGGGATAAAAATCAGAGTCAGAAATGGAGGAGAAAAAGAAAGGGAAAGGGGAATAAGAGAAAGGACCAGAAAAGAAGGGGATATAGAAAGTTTAAAAAAAATGAAAATAAATTATACGGCTAGAAGACCTAGAGATAATGGGTAGATAAAGAATAAGAAAGGTAATGTGCAAGGTCATGTGTAGCGATGTATAAAAAATATAGATTTTAAAAACGGAAAGCTTGGAACTGATGTTTTTTCTT